GATAAAGATATTAAATCAAATATAAGCAAAAGACTCAAGTTACTTTACACAAATTTGGCCACTCCAGACGTAAGTGATATCCACATCTCTACCACCAAGAAGAAAAGCTCACCACCTCAAGGATATAATCTGCCTTATGATGCTCGGAATGAACAAGATCTAACCACGGATGTAAGATCGTCGCCTTACATCAAAGATGAACACTGAAATAGAAATTAAATTTGAAGTAAGTGCTCAAAATGGTAGAGTCTCGTGTTGATAACGTATTATAAAATAAAAACTTTAAAGTAAAGAAATCGAAGACAAGTAGAGAGAGAGAGAGAGATTTATTATTCAACTTCAAATTCATGTACATAATGAACTGAAATCTCCTTTATTTATAGAAGAAAGGAAGTTGCTGTGTAAGCTGCTTGTAATATGCTACTGCAAGCTGTTGTGTAAGCTGCTACTGCAAGCTGCTGTGTAAGCTTCTTGTAAGTTGCTACTGTACCAGATATAGATAATCTTCTGTCGGAGGTAATATTTATCCATCACGGAGTACCGAAATGATAAGCTTCTTCAGGAATCTTATTTACAACGGAGTACTAAATGAACATTTATAATATATATATATATATATAACAAAAAACCATTTTTTGTATAGATAACGTAGTTACGCATATGTAGCGGCTATTTTTGCAAAATATGCAATTATAGTCTTAAAAATGCAAATGTAATTATAAAAAATATAATTAAAATATTTGAGCACTCATATGAACATAAATGATGAATTTAGATGATTAAATCACCATAAAATAATATGAGGTATAGTTTTGAACATTTATGTAATAAAAAATACAGAAATAAATGGATTTAGGGCCTTTAAAAATTGTAGAAAAATTATAAAAATACTTGTGCATGTTTGTAAATGCATGTACAATATTTTGAAAGTATGTATGCATACTTTTAAAATATATGAGGGAAAAATTGGGTATCAACAAACATGATCCAAAGCAATACCAAAACATCAATTCATACTATGGTTGGCATTACATCGAACATTTGCCACAGTTGATCGATTAAGGAAATATGGAATAACAGTAGCAAGTGATTGTGTACTCTGTGGAAAGAGTGTAGAGGAGTCAATGGAACATATGTTGTTTGTGTGTGATTATTCCAGAACAATATGGGCTACACTACCGTAGTGGTTAGAAGAAAAACATCACATTGGTAGCTGGGAAAAGGAGATTGAATGGATAAAAAGAAGAACTGCTAGCAAAGCTAGAGGTAAAATACTAATATTCCTATTCACAATGGTTGTCTACCATGTCTGGACAGAGAGAAATCAAAGAAGGTTCCAAGGAAAGATGTTGGCTTGCACTCAGAGGATTAAAGACATTGTGCTGGAGTTACACATCAAATGGCAGAGTGAAGCAAAGTGGCACAAAGAGCTGGAAAGACTGAAGAATTTTCCTAGTTAAAATGAGTTAAATGTAATTGTAATAGGAAATGTGATATCTGATTAGTCAGAAATTTTTTTTATATAAGGTCTAGCCCTAGAGTCCAGTTGAGCTAGCGGATGTAAATACTTATACTTGGTTAACTAAAATTTCGACAATTTAATCAAAAAAAGTGGTAACCTTAAATATTTGGCCTTTATATAAGTACATGCATACCAAGTAGGGGCGTACAAAGGAAACCGATAAACCGCACCAATCCGATAATCCGAATCAAACCGAAAAAGAAACCCGACTATGGTTTGGTGTTGGAAAAAAAATTGACATAATTGGTTTGGTTTGGTTTGGTTTTAACTAAAGAAAGTCAAACTGAAACCAAACCAACCTGACATTACATATATAGAAATTATATATATATTTAATATATAAATATACTTATTGTGATGTAATTTATAAATATTTCTTAAAAAATTTCATAGTATTATCTTTTAAGGTATTATTTCAAGGTTGGACTTAGAACTTTTGAATGTTCCAATAAGTTTTATAGCCATTAATATTAGTAAATTAAATAATGCTAACAAAAGCCCAAACTAAAATCAAATTAATAGTAATGCTAACAAAAGGCATTCAATTCAATATTATGACAGGGAATGTATTGAATATATATTTTTTGTTTTGCAATAATTTAGATAAAAATGCATAACCTATTTTTATTTTATTTTTAGCGTTTAGTCATGTAATTAATACTCCCTTATTAGTCTACTTATTTTAACATGACTTAGTACTTTAGTTTATATTTATTTTTATTATGGCTTTTTAATTAGCAATATTTATATTACATAATTTATTGTCTTTATTGTTGAGTATTTTAGGATAATGCCATGGACACATCTCATATTTTGTATTATTTTCTTGAAAAATACTTTATAAAGTTGTATCTTACTAGGATTAAAGAAATATTTTGAGCATAAGTTATATATTTTGTTCTACGAAGATTTTACCGGGAAAAAATCCGAGAAAACCCGAAAAACCCGAAAATTCGAGAAAACCCGGGATTGAAAATCCGAGTTTTATTGGTTTGGTTTGGTCTTTAGATTTAATAACCCGACACAATTGATTTGGTTTGATAATTATAAAATCCGAACCAACCCGACCTATGTACACCCCTAATACCAATTGCTTCATGAAGCTTGCATGTGAGAAATGTTCTCATGAACTTCATGGATGTCTAATTTTGCCTCCTTCGTTTGCAGAAAAATTAATTTGAATAATCGTTCATCCAATCGCTTATACTAAAAATAGTCAGAGAATATAAAATGAATATGATTTACGCATAATATATATATATATACATAAACCGACTAGAAAAAATAAATAATGAATCATGGCTATTCACGTAAAGATAGGAAATTCTACCCATATCCCTTCAACCAAGCCCATGATCTATCTGTAGATTGAGGCTTATGGGCTAATAAAGGCTTATTGGAGTTTGTCCATGTTTTGCCACAGCCCAAAGCTTGGTGCAGCTTCAACTTGATCTTATAGTACACCATTATATGCTCCATTAATCAAATTTGCACGATTCAATATTTAGAATTCACTAACTTTTCGTGTTCTCATTTTGTCATTGACATAATCTGCTGTAAGCCTTACTAAACATGATACTAAACATATTATTATTAGGATTGCTTTTGGTGCTTCTGCATACTATTTAACTTATGTATAAAAAATATCCATTTCTTTTAAAAGCACCATCTTTAGGCAAACACCGACAAATAAAGTGGGAGGGGCGTAATAATTTCATACAAGTACCTCTTTTTTCTTTGGAAAAACCATACAAATTAAGAGTGAGAACTGAGAAGATTTATTCCCTAATTTTTGTATTAAAATGTACTGTTAAAAATGGCTAACTAGTAGTTCTATTGAGCATAATTAACATACTTTGCAGGATTAGACACATGAAACACATATTACATACGTACCATAATAGAAAAGAACATCTAAAGTACGAAAACTCAATGACTCAACCCTTAAATGACTCCTTAAAAATATAGAAAAAATCTTAAATGGCTACATGTTATTCAAATTATATTTCTTAGTAACTTGATTACTTGAGATATTGTAGTATTTTTAGGTTAGGAGATTATATTACATTGAGGGGGTTGTGAAGGGGAAAATTGGTGGGGAGACTAATTATTCACAAGAAGCCAAGATATATGAGGATGAATGAAGTAAAAAACGATTAGGTGTTTAGTTTTTGGCCACATGAGTGATGTGCATGAATAATGACCAAATGAAGTACAGAGAGATGTGCAAGCAAATAATGCCACAAACAATTAATACAACTAACTTATTTTCACGATTTGACCCCTCAAATACCTCAAAAATCCAGCTGGGACTTTAATATCAATTGTACTTATATTCCATCAATCATTCTACCTACTTCAACACTTACGTTTACTGAACTTTTGTATCCTTTTATTTCTTTTCTATTAATTACAGGATATTTTTTTCGTTTTCCCTTTAGTGGAGAAATGATATACTATAGTTTTTGGGGAAGTACATGAAGTGAAAACTAGCATATACCCATATATCAAAAGGAAAACGTGTGTTACATTAGCATTTGTAAGTTCTCATCTATTTTTCTCAAAGTCTAAGCTAGCATTTGGCTATAAATTCCAAAATTTCATTAAAAAAAATCTTATTTTGGGTGAAGTTTGGTTTAAAAATGAAAACCCTATTTGGAAATCAAAAATAGATTTTATTTAACCCTTAAGTTCTAAAAACTATCAAAAATACCTAACAAACAAACTTGCTAATCTTGTACCACCTTCACCGATGTCATTCACTGTCATTATCACAATCCATAGTCCTAAATATAAACACGTTTGACACAAAATTATTATTTTTATAATGAACAATTATTGCACTATCCTAAAACCCTAACATGATATTTTAATATCAACTGTTAATAACACAATTATTAACTACTACAATTCGTCAAATTGTAATAATATTACAAGATCAATCATTCCAAACAAAAAAATGATAGTAACTAGCTAGTGGATGTTGGAGATGAAGGAAACTCAGATTTGTCTATGGTGTTTGATAAAGAAAAGGGTTTGAGTTGAGTATAGGGTTTGAGTTGATTTAGGTTGTCTTTAAAAGACAACAACTTTGCCTTGTCTTATTCGCCCCAGTTCTAGATATGGGCTGCTCAACATTGGGCCTCCTCAACTCAGCTCACTTCAGTCTTTTGGGCCTCTTTATCCGTCTGCAATAGAAGAGAATAGAAGGGAATAGAAGAAAGACAACAACTGTAAATTTTATTCTTTGTTTGTTATAGACTAGCCAATATATTAAGAACACATAGGATAGTTAGTTATGCATAGATTAATTTCCTTTTGTATTTATATACAGTTTTTGTACAGTAAAAGATCAGTTGAATATACAGAAAAGGAAATTCTCCAAAATTGTTCTTCTATTTCATCATGGTATCAGAGCAAGTTTGATTTGCTTTAGATTCACACTACATCATTTTCCCTTTCTTTCTTCCTCACTATAATGGCGACTGAAAGTCAGCCCAACGATTTGTTGAGTTCATCTACTCCTGCTACTGGAGTTTCTATAGCTGCAGGATCTGTTGTTTCTGGTGCTGTTGATTCAGCACATCCTTATTACCTCCCTCCTTCAGATTATCCTGGTATGAGCCTTGTTTCTTCTATGTTTGATGGAAGAGGTTATGGAGATGGAGAAGAGCAGTAGTGATAGCTCTGTCTGCTAAGAACAAGCTAGGGTTCATTGATAGAACCCTAGTTGTTCCTGCTGTTGATTCAGGTCTTCAAAGAGCTTGGGCACGTTGCAATGATATGGTTCTTTCTTGGCTTCTCAACTCACTCTCCAAAGAAATAGCAGAAAGTGTGTTGTATTCACAAAGTGCAAAAGACCTTTGGGCTGACCTGGAAGATAGATTTGGTCAAACAAATGGAGCTAAACTCTTTCGGCTGCAAAAGGAGCTAAGTGCTGTGGTGCAAGGAAATTCTAGTGTTACAACTTATTTTACTAAGATGAAGAGCTTATGGGATGAGCTTGATGCTTTTAACACTTTTTCAGCTTGTGTGTATGATTGTGATTATGGAGCTAAAATAAAGAACCATAAAGCTCATCAAGATGAAAGGTTGTTACAATTTCTAATGGGTTTAAATGAGTGCTTCATAGGAGTAAGAAGTAACATTCTGTTATCTTCTCCGCTGCCCACTATTGGACAAGCATACTCCTTAGTGATCCAAGATTAAAAACAGAGGGAGATTCATGCAACTCCTGCTTATCCAGGAGACTGTGCTTCTTTTATTGCTGCTAATCAGCCAGGAGAGGAGAAGAGACACAATGAGCAGAGAAGTCAAAAGGGTATGAATGATTCTAAAAGGGTTTCAACCATTTGTGGCTACTGTAAAAAGCCAGGACATACTATTGACAAGTGTTATAGGATCCATGGTTTTCTAACAGACTTTAAATTTACAAGACAGAAGAAGTTCCAAGGTCCAATACAAGCCAACAATGCTCTTAATGCAGTTGATGAAAATGAACAGGCAATCAGTGTCAGAGAGAAAATCACTCACCCAAGAGAATGTAGCTCAGCTACTCCAGCTCCTTCAGCAAGTTAAGCTTGGACAACAAGTGGCAAGAACTTCCTCCGATGCTTATGCAAATACTAATTGTGCTGGTATACCTTCCTTCTTTAATTCTCCTCCCCGTTTCAATGAAATTAGTAGTCAGCCTTGGATATTAGACAGTGGAGCCTCAGAACATATGATCTAAAACAAGAAACTTTTCTGTGTCCTTAAACCTTTAATCAAGCCTAGAATTATTAACTTGCCAAATTCTCAAAAGGTTCTGGTAACTCACTATGGCTCAGACATTCTGTTTTCTAATCTAATACTTCTAAATGTTCTCTATATCCCATCATTCAAATATAATCTTTTATCTGTTCATAAGTTGTGTAAGCAGTTAAAACATCCACTCTTTTTTACTTCTTCTTCTTATTTTCTGCAGGGCCTTTCACTGAAGAGCCCTCTGGATATTGGTAAGGAGAAGTCAGGACTCTACATCCTTCAATCAAGGCCAACAACAGTCATTCCCAGTATTTTATCCAAGTCTAGAAATAGTTTTCTTTCTAGCAGGAAGCTTAATCTAGGACAATATGTACCTACTTTACATTCCTATTTTAGTTCTATTTCCAATGTAAAAGATAAGCTATGGCAATATAGGTTAGACCATATGCCTTTCAGTAATATGAAAAACATTTATACTATTCCTACTTCTGTTTCATCAAAGTCTTATACTCCTTGTATTGTTTGTCCTATGGCAAGACAATCTAGACTCCCATTTCCCACAAGCAACATTACCTCAAAGCACATCTTTGAATTAATTCATATTGATACATGGAGCCCGTATAATAAACCTGCTTATGATGGCTTTAAGTATTTCCTAACTATTGTGGATGACTATAGTAGAGGTACATGGACCTACTTATTGAGCAACAAATCAAATGCTTTTTCAATATTAAAATCATTCTTGGCTATGGTAGAAAGACTGGTTCATACAAAAGTTAAGGCCATTAGATCAGATAATACCTTTGAGTTAGGAAGTAAGACTGCCCAGTTGGATTTTTTTCTTTCCCAAGGAATTATACATCAGACTACTTGTACTGCTTCTCCACAACAAAATGGAGTTGTGGAGAGAAAACACAAATATTTGTTGGAGACTTCTAGAGCTCTATTCTTTCAGTCTAATTTACCTATTTCTTTTTGGGATGATTGTCTTTTAACAGCAACTTACCTCATTAATAGGTTTCCCTCAAGGGTTCTTCATTTTAAAACACCTTATAAGGTTCTTTTTCATTCTAAACCAGATTACACAAAGTTAAAATGTTTTGGACGTCTATGTTTTGTCTCTACCCCTTCTATCTATAGAACAAAGTTTCAACCTAGGGCAATACCATATGTTTTTTTGGGATATCCACATGGTAAAAGAGGTTACAAAGTTCAGAACCTCAAAACTTTAAAACCTTTTATTTCCAAAGATGTTGTTTTTCATGAGGAAGTTTATCCTTTCTCTTCTAAACTACCTCAACACTCTTCAGATTCTTTTCTATCTCTCTCACCATTACCTAATTCCACCAGTAATGTTCTTGACTCAATCCCAATAGTACAACCCATATCACCAGCTAATGAGAATGCAACTCCCATCTCTCCTACATCCATCTCTCACCCCATATCTCCGTCTACCATACCTTTCTCTCCTATTCCTGCTCCCCCACTCACACCTTCCCAAATTCAGTATTCTCATGTCCCTACTGCCTCCCTTTCTCCTATTCTTACTACCTCACCTTCTACATTTAAACCTATGATAGGCAAGTTTATTAGAAAGTCATCTAGACCCCATAACCCTCCAGTCTATCTCAAAGATTACATTTGCAATGCTATTTAACTCACAGATGTTAGCACTGCTTGTTTTCTCTCACCTATTACACCTCCTAGTTTCCTTTCTCTGGGCTTTCTACCTTAAATCAACATTTACTAAATTCCCTAACTAGTATTCAAGAACCTACCAATTATAGTCAAGCAGCATACCACCTAGGTTGGAAGGAAGCCATGACTAAGGAAATTGAAGCTCTTGAACAGAGTCAAACCTGGAAAGTAGTGGAACTACCCCCTAGTAGGAAAGCACTACCTTGCAAATAGGTGCATAAGGTGAAACAATATTCAGATGGTAGTCTGGAAAGACTAAAGACTCGGCTAGTATAAGAGGTGATATTCAAAGGGAAGGAGTGGATTTTACTGAAACATTTTCACATGTGGTGAAAATGACTACAATTAGATGCATTCTTGCTACAGCTGTGAAGAAAGGTTGGGGAATCTACCAATTAGATTTTAACAACGCCTTTTTACATGGTAATCTTAATGAAGATGTTTATATGAAGTTTCCTATTAGTTTTTCACCACCTTCTTTTACTCAAGTTTGTCGTTTGAAGAAATCACTTTATGGTTTACGTCAAGCTTCTTGTCAGTGGTATGCTAAGTTAATGGAAACTCTAAATTTTAAAGGGTATTCACACTCATTGAATGACTATTCTCTATTTTTTAAGAAGCTGGATTCCTCAATATCCATAGTTGCAGTATACGTGGATGACATTCTACTCACAAGAAATAATGCTGAAGAACTACATGCTTTAAAGATATTCTTAAATCAAGAGTTCAAAATCAAAGACTTAAGGACCTTACATTATTTTTTGGGCATGGAAGTACTACGAGAATCTTCAGGTCTGATCCTGTCCCAGCGTAAATTTGCCCTGGATCTTCTCACTGAGTTTGATGTCTTGCACAAAGCTCCTGTTTCCTCCCCACTTGATCCAACTATCAAACTCTTGGCCAACACAGGTGATCCTCTTCCTGATCTGACCTTGTATTGTCATTTGTTGGGTAAGCTAAACTACTTAACCCATACAAGGCCGACTCTTTCTTTTACGGTGCAACACCTCAGTCAATATATGCAGGATCCCCGACAACCTCACATGCCTGCGACTCTTCGTGTTCTTCGATATTTTCTCAAGGACCCTGGTCTTGGATTGTTTATGTCTTCATCACCCTCTTTTCAATTGCTCGCCTTTTGTGATTCCGACTAGGGTACTTGTCCTGAATCTCGTAAATCTGTTAGTGGCTTTTACATTTCCCTTGGAGGGTCTCCCGTATCCTGGAAGTCCAAGAAACAGACTTCCATCGCCCTCAACTCTACTGAAGCTGAGTATCGCTCGATGAGGCGAGTAGTTGCCGAGCTCACATGGCTTGTGCGTATTTATAAGGGCCTAGATATTCCAATTTCTCTTCCTGTTCCTTTGTACTCCGATAGTCAAGCAGCAATCCACATCGCAAAGAACCCCGTGCTTCATGAGAGAATGAAATATGTGGAAATCGATTGTCACTTTGTTCGTCAATAATTTCTCGCCGGTCTAATTTCTCTGTCCTTTGTTCGATCCTCTTCTCAGTTGGCAAATCTATTCACAAAGTCTCTCACAGGACCGCTTCACCATAGACTTTTGGGCAAGTTGGGTGTTCTTGAGTCCTCTTCCAACTTGAAGAGGGGTGTTGGAGATGAAGGAATCTCAGATTCGTCTATGGTGTTTGATAAAGAAAAGAGTTTGAGTTGAGTATAGGGTTTGATATAATTTAGGTTGTCTGTAAAAGACAACAACTTTGCCTTGTTTTATTCGCCTCAGTTCCAGATATGGGCTGCTCAATATTGGGCCTCCTCAACTCAGCTCACTTCAGTTATTGGGCCTCTTTATCCTTCTGCCCAATATCAAGCCCAATAGAAGAGAATAGAAGGGAATAGAAGAAAGACAACAGCTGTAAAATTTATTCTTTGTTTGTTATAGACTAGCCAATACAATAAGGATACATATGATAGTTAGTTATGCAGAGATTCTTTTCCTTTTGTATTTATACATAGTCCTTGTACAATAAAAGATTAGTTGAATATACAGAAAAGGAAAATTCTCCAAAATTGTTCTTCTATTTCATTAGTGGATTAGTTGGGTCATAATAGATGGTGCGATTTTTTTATAAAATAAAAAAGTTTGGGGTAATTCTTGAAATTGTTAAAAAATTCAAAAGTAATATTTTGAGCCAAAAACGGGTGTAGAGCTAGTTTTGAGATTTGAAAATTTTTGTTTCAAGATATGGATAAAATTTATAAACAAACAAATTTTGCTAAAAAAGATTTTGAAAAAAAAACTTAGCAAAATTTATGGTCAACACAGGTCTTCCTCTGGTTGAAAAATTAACAAGCCATTGGCACACTTCTTTGGGGAGTAAATTTTATGGGTGGTTATTCTGCTTTGTGTTCATTACCCAAAAGTCACTTTTTTTTGTTACTTAAAAGTCATTCAACTTTGTGTTCATTACTTAAAAGTTATTTTTTTCCTTTGTTACACAAAAATTATTTTACCTTGCTCTAATTATCACAAAAATCACCTTGTATAAATTTTATAATACTTTTACTTGAAAAGTCTATTATGCCCTTGACATTATATAAATTCTCCCATTTATGTAATACCTTCTATATTATATACTACATAATATATTTTTACCTAGGTATTTTATCTATAATTAAAATAACTTAATATTATTTTATTTATTATTTTTTATAATATATTTGTACATTTAATTTTTCCTTAATGTTAATTTTCAAGATATATTTATTAAATTTGTCAATAATATTACTTTGAATAAATCTCAAGTCAACATTATTAACCACGCCTAATTAAATATTTGTAGTAATATTTATAAAATCAAAGCTAACAGGTTTTTCAGCCAAGCCATATTCATTAAACCAATCAATAAAATACCCACATTTAGCATACTGACACATCAAATTAACACTTTCACAAAGATAATATTAATAGATAAAGCATTTAAAAACTTAGTATTAAACACAAATATTTTTTTATTTTTAATTTTTTTTACTAACTATAAAAAACTATCATTTGTTAAACAACTATGTTTTTTTATTATTTCAAGTAAATATTTTTGTCGTTTTTATTATTACTTATGTTTGAATATGATTAAACAAATTTAGTGCCATGAAAAATTAAAAACATGAATAT